GATTATGTCACTCAAGTTACTATCTTGGAGTATGGCTCTAAGGCTTGATTTTGGAACGAAGTATGACTCATCTTCTTGATTAACCATTTCAACAATTCATGATTCCTCTTCTTAGTCATTCAGTCCTTAGAGGATCAATTGTGATATGATTTTTCATAATCATTAAGATGATAATAAAACACGATACTAAAGTACTCTCCCATCTTTTTAGATTGGAGAAACTTTTATCTTTCTGCCTAATTTGATTCTTATCATTCGTTCTGCCTTACATTGAAACTTTTTCAATGTTTCAGAATTACACTTAAACTCGTAAGCATTATCATATTTACGAAACTTTAGTAAATTATAACGAATAGTCTTATCCCTCTTTTTGGTGGACCTGACCAGCGCACAACCAAGTGTACCCAATCCCCTAGTCCTTCACTTGACTCATATATACATGTGAACAAGGAATTAGTCTTATTTCCCAAAGATGAAAATTCTCATTCATCACACAATACAACTTGCATGATTCCAAGTTTCTATCCAACTGAAACTTGGGTGACGAGAATCTTTCCTTATTTGGTAAATTATGACACTACCACAAACGAAAGTATCAAATCCATTTTCCAATATTGCTATTAATGGAATCATATAAACAACAATTTTCACAAATGCCATTTTAAGGAAACTTAAAATAAGATAAAATAAAAACTTTTCTTTATTTATAAAACTGCGGAAAAACTTTTCCTTACAATGCAATTACAAATGAAAACTATGTTGTTATCTATTCCTAAGCAATCTATCACAACTCTTAAGCAACAGCTCAAAATTCTGATCACCGAACCATGCAATCGAAATCCATCTCTTCGCGATCAGAATCAGCTTATTCTTCCTTTAAATTTCCTTTCTTTTCTTCGATTCTCCAAAACATCAAAATGTAATTACATTACATCATGTATTAAGAATCTCCAAATAGGAATTTAATAGAGTTAGATATTGGACTTACTTGAAGTAGAGTCAAACTTTTTGACTTTACCATCCTTATAATCTTTCAGGTAAATAGAGCAGCTTCGCAACCAATTCCCCTTCTCTTGGCAATAGGAACATATGGACCTTTTGGGAATAGTATACTGGACTATCTCAGACTTAGCCTTTCTCTTTACCATTTGGTCAATTAACTTTACCATGGCCGATCCCTTCCCATTGGGAAGAGAAAGCTTTTTTGGAATTCCAATGTTACCATTGTCAATGTTCATGGAAGTTTGGAAAGTAGATCTTCCAAGCAAATTTGCTTTACCAGTGCCCCAAATCATTGTTGATTCAACAACAACAAGCAAATAGGTAAGATCGATAAGGGTCATGTCGTGTTCTGTCATATAGTAGTCCTCAGTGAACCCGCTATATGACTCAGGAAGTGATTGAAGAACCCAGTCAACAGCCAACTTCCTTGAGACTTCGACACCCAACTCTCCCAGCTTGTCAATATGTAACTTCATCTCCAAGAGGTTGGCACATACAAACTTCTATCTTTGTGTTTTCTTGACAATAGGTCTTGAGTGACCTTAAGCTTTTAAAGTCTTTGAACTTGTGGGTTAGGGAGAATAATTGGAGGAGGTGGAGGAAGTGAAGTATGATTCCAGTCCCATTAATGCACGACAAAGTGATTAATCTTTCACCTTGATCGTCATGTGGCATATCATCTTCATTAGAAAGCTTTTTCTAAAAAGATAAGGAAGACCATAGTTGTCAAAACTAGACATCCATGAGGGAGAAATTCAAGTTAGTTGATTTAATTCCTTAATATAACACCCAAAACGAAATATTAAGGCTAGGAACCAACACAATATTCTACAATTGCGAAAAGGGATGCCGTAATCAAATTGTAGAATATTTGAAGGTAGGTAAATGACGATTTACCAATTTCCACCATAAAAAACGAAATAGATTATTAATTTTTCATTGGATTTGAAATTCCTAGATCCTTTGAGATTCATTGAACTTTTCAATGACTGGGATGCCGAGGATCACAAACAAGGTGTGAATAACCATGCAAAATAGCTTGATACACCCAATGTTACAAATCACATAACCAATGTGCCGGTTAACGCACACGCTCCATTGATCTATGATTAACATCAAGTTACCCTTTGCCACACATTGTCAGTCCCAGATTAGTGTGCCGGTTAACCATACACGCTCCACTAACGACTTAACAAGGTGCAAAGTGTAATTTCATGGATTAGCACCATTTTCACATTTTTCCTAAAGTAACTAACATTGGGACCTTAATAAAAGTTTAGTTACTTTATATTTATCATTATACTTTTAATGAGGGAGAATTTATGTCCTATCCTATCCGTTCGGCTAACGACCCTCCATCAGTCAAGGAAGCGGTGGGTGAGAGTGGACACCCATTAAACTGCCATTTTATAGGCAGCAACCTTATACCCCCTTATAGGCTGGCTTCGTGAATGAGGTCTACTAATGGTAAGACTGACTTATTCTTAAACATATATATATATATATATAATATATATATATATATAATTATTAAACTTATAATAATATAATAGTATAAGGGTTGAATTTTAACTTTTAAAACTCTAGGGTTGGAGTTAAAGTATTCAAAAGTGAGACTTTACAAATTACAAAACTTGAGGGCAACATTTGAAACTTGTCAAAACTTTTGGAGTTCCATAACTTATGGGTTTAATGTGGTTTTTATGAAAACCTTTCATGTTCCATAACTTGAGGACAAGTTATGGAAGACTTTAAAACCATTTAAAAAAGAGACTTTTTCATAATCTATGAGTTTTAATGAGCTTTTAAAATAAAGACTCTTCATTTTCCTTAACTTATGAAATTTATAAGTTTTAAAGTTCATGAATGAGACTTTTCATATAACTTGAGGACAAGTTACAAAACTCATATCAAGAACAATTTTGATCAACAATTATCATATAATTTACTATTGATCTAATCTAACTCATAGCAAGGCAATTCATATCAAATATTACAAATAATCATATTATTATCTAAATATTTGACAATTGACTTTTAAATGGACGAGGATTATCATTACCAACTCAAAAAATACAATTTTTATGTTTACAAAACATTTTGTGGTAATGATCATATCCATTTCTGGCCAAAAACTTGAAAATTTGCACCCTGGAGCACTTACTCGACCAGTTCATGAACTGGACTCGCCGAGCTCTTTCCTTACTGAGTGTAGAAAATCGATTTTTCAAGCTTTGAAAATTAAGCAAGCATCAAATATAATAGAAAACAACCCATGGCTCTGATACCACTGTTGGGTTTTGGTATACTACAACATCCTATGGTGCACATACAACCATAAATGCCTTGGATCTATGTTTTCTTTAATTATACATGCAATATTGTTTCCAAAGCATTAAGCCTAGAACTAGCATACAATTTGACACATAAATCATAAAAGTAAGCTAAAAGATTACCTCTTTGTTGTAGCTTGTAGACATTGGCCTTTTAAGAGCTTAGTGCCTCAAGTGCTGCACCTCAAACAAGTCACAAACATCATGAACAATTGGAGAATATTGAGAATGAAGTTATGAAGCACAAAATCGGCTCAATGAACTCTTAGAACAATAGGGTGCTGATTTGGTGATTTAGGGACTCCTTTTATAGTGTGGCATAACTAGGGTTACAACCACGCAAACCCTAATGCCCCATGACCTTTCATGTTACTTAGGCTCCATGAGTTAAACCTCCATGGACCATCCATTGACCACCATATTGATTTAGCCCATCCTAAATAACAATTGGCACACACTATAAGAATCATTGATTTACCAAATCAATCCCCAAATATTTAATTAGTCTCTTTTGATCACTAAATTAATTCCAAATTAATTCTTGATTAATACTAATTAAATAATATGATTCCTCAATTAATATATTATACTTATAATATATTAATAAATCACGTATAACTTCTTACTAAAATATCCATCATATCAAATTGTCCTAATGAAGGCAACCCGAAATGGACCATGCTACTCTCGGGTCAAGTACATACGAATTACAGTTATGGGCTTAGACACCTAATCCAACAATATACTCATCTATTCACGAAGCGAGGAAGAGCATAGTCAGCACTTGAGACAACTTCTAGAAACTTTATGGACGGAGAAGCTCTACGCTAAATTCTCAAAGTGCGAGTTTTGGATTAGGAAAGTAAATTTTCTTGGTCACGTGGTTAGCGAGGAAGGCAGACACGAAGACCCTTCCAAAATTAAGGCAATCGAGAATTGGTCAGCACTGAGAACACCCACAGAAATCCGTCAACTCTTGGGTCTTGCTGGCTACTATCGCAGATTGATACAGAACACGACGTCCTCCGCCCCCGAACGTTTCCGCCGTTCCGGTTTGGGGGTGTGACATATGAGCTTGAAGACACTGGATAAGAACAAATTGTCTCTAAAATATGCATATTCTCATCAGTAACTTTGTTGCTTTCTTCTAAAGTGGTTACTATACTTTTTATATGTGCTATATCGTATGCGATATCTTTATGTATGAAAAGAATAACTTCTTGTTTTGAGTAGAAATCAACATTATGTGTGAAACAATGTCTGGGTTGATATGAAGAAAATGTCCATATATCTTATAAATAACTTATTTATATAGCTCCCATTACATAAAGAAACAAAGTAAGTATCAAATCCAACTTAGTTATATGGTTATAATTGTTGAAGGAGGTTACAATTTTAGACATTCAAAACGGTTGATTTCATTTCATGGGTGTCGTGAGTTAGTTCCCCCATAAATACCAGATAGTTACATTACATGGAAATCGAAAAGTTTCTACATTACAAGTTCACATTCTAAGCAGTAATGGCTAATTATACTTATTTAGTAAGTATTTGTGCATAAATTCTTAAAAAAATGCATCTAAACTACATTGCTATTTATATTTCTCCAAGATAAAAATGAACAAAAAATGTTCTTACAATAGGAGATCGACAATTAAACATGTTCTATACCGTTTTTCTGAAGCCCATAACATCGTCAACTATTGAATGCACAATTACCTTTGTCCCAACAAAATCAGTTTCAAACCATAGGACGACCTGTAACGAACATGAACACACATAGCATGGGAAAATTATAAAAGCAACAAAGAAATTCAGACTTCATTATTTAAACCAAACCAATGGGTGTTACATATGGAGTATGTACCTTGCTATTGTCAAATCCTACTAAGTTGAATGATGACCACCATAGTTTCACTAAAAAATCATTACCAATCCCAAATGCAAAATCTGTTGCATGTGCACCCACAGAGTACAACGAATATTATCCAAACTGGACAAAAAAAACAATTTGTATTCGCACACCTGCAAAGTTTTATCCAAGAAAAGTTACATAACTATGCCTTACTCAATATATTGTAATTCAAATGACACCCTCTCAGTAGACCGACCATCCTTCATGTTAAGCATCAAGCCGGTATACCATGTCACTACACCAAGGACATCTGTAAAGGAAACAGCAAGTAACTCAGAAATTTCAGGACAAACAACACAAGTATAAGAGCAAGTTTGTATTTGATAGGGAAGCCTACTTACCAATTGCACACTCCTTCCTAGGATCACCTGAAATAATGTATCCAAACTTAGCAAAACAAAAAGAGTTGACACCACGGGAGAAGCCAGATGTCATGGCCTTAACAAACATGTTTTTGTGAAAATTATATTAAATCATTGATATGCCATTTTCAAACAGGAAAGGTTATCAGCAACAAAGAAACTCAAAATATCATACAAAGTCCCATCCTTACAATCATTCAAACTTGTGAATTAAAGCCTCGTTGATGGTTGTTAAATCTGGTTCCACTGAAATTATCACAAAAAAACAAACAAAGCTTAAGCAACTATACCAATGCATATAAAATAGAAAAAGCTTATCCATGACAAATCGATAACTTCTCGTCCATTAATACAATATCAATATTGTTCAATTAAGACGAATGCAAGTAAACATGTTGCTCCCATAAACGAACAACACATCCCTTGAACTTTAAAACATCAATATCAATATGCATCTCACTAATTAGTTGATATTGTGAACCTATATCAAACACTGCAACAAGATCTGACAGATATATCTAACAAAACATTTATATCTACAATGAACACACCTCATGCGTCATTTATACAAACAACAAGCATCGACATCAACTCTTGACCATATTAACATCCCAACCAGTTACAATACAGTTTTATGGCATAATAACTTGAAGAACATATGAACAACCCAAAAGAGTACTCACGAGAACCCGTAATCGCATCCATTCGCTCTCCTAATCGATTAACACATCAGAAGACCCATCACCAGAAAGTTGTTTTTCAAAATAGTGTCGCATTAGACATGACATGTGGCCTTGAAAAAATGGAGCTTTCAACAACTCACCAAAAGTCTTCTTAGATTATATAAGATATAGATTAAGGAAGAGCAAAGGAACCGACACGGCTGGAACCGGCCCGAACCGGACCCGACCCGGGAACCGAACTTGGTGGAAAATATGAACCAAACCGGACCGCCGGTTCTTCCGGTTCCGGTTCCTGCCGGTTCTTATCGTGTGTTCAATGTTTGAACCGGTCCTTGAGAAATAGCAACATACGGTTCCGGTTCTACCAGTTCCAAAAATCGACAACAATATAGTATCCGTCCCGACCCGACCGGTTCCATCAGGTTCCGGTTCCGGTTTCGGCCGGTTCCCAGGTCCATATGTTCATCCCTAATATAGATTACTAGTTTTTCGATAGTATAGTAACATGTTTTTTAGTTTGTTTGTTTTTCGTTTAAAAAACATGAAATTGATTTGGTGATTAGGTAAAAAAATTATAATTATGTCTATTTAGTTTTGTTTTCTAGCACCTTGCTAGTATATATATATATATATATATATATATATATATATATATATATATATATATATATATATAGGCTTAGGTTATTCTATTCAAAGTAATTATTGTGTTATTGTATGCATAAATGTAGGTCAATCAAATTTACTTATTTTAATAAAGTGATTAATATATATTATTGAATTAAATATAATTGAAAAATATCATCTTAATTAATTACAAGGGTAATTTAGTCAATTAATATTGATTTAATAAAGGAAAATTACATTTTTTAAGGGATCATAGATTCTATTAATTTTAAAAATCCGATTTTACGAATTATAATTCTTTTAATTCGGACATTCTGACAGAATATGTTTATGAGTATATATTCAAAAATAAAAATATTCTTGAACCATAAATAATAAAAATATTGTGGAACCTATTTCTTGATCATGACTTTAAAAACTTCTTGTAGAATAACAAATTCTTAAAGAATCAATTGAAGAATAAAAACAAAAAATACATTATATCTTATAGAATACGGGTAACAATTGTTAAGAATTACATTTATTGTTAAAGAATAAAATTAAAAAAACTTTCAAAACGGGAAACAAAACATCAAAGTCTAACAACGACAGTAATACATTCTAAAAGAATAATGTTGCTTAGAATTACTTTCAATTTTGTGGTCCGTTCTTCAAGCATCAACTTCTATGCTTCCAACAGAATTTGAATTCGTGATTCCATTCCAACAAAATTGGAATTCGTGATTCCATTCCAATAGAATTGGAATCTCACCAATTCCAACCACACATGGCTCCAAAATCCTCCAACTGCAGAATGTGCTAATACGTCCTTCTGGGGTGCCCATTTTACGATCAAACCTTTCACCTTCATCTCACTTACCAAATCCTCCGGCAAAAACTCGATCCAATCACACCCATGAACCGAACCCGGTCGAACCACCCATATGAACGGCTGGTTACTGTTGGCTTGGCCCCATGCCATTCCAGTCGCCACTTTTGCATCCATGGTTGCTAAGCTTCCTACACTTGCATAAATTACTGATTTGGGTGATTGTTTATCTAGCCATGAAATGCAATTGGTATCTTCTTCAAGAAAACTATCGGAAGGGGTTGGTGATGTTCTGTGTAATGGGGCGACGGTAAAAACTGGAACTTGGTAGCGATGGCGGATCCGGGTCAGTGCCGATTGTTCAATAAAATCGATGGTGTTCCATATGAAAGCAACCGGGTGTGTTTTTGAGGAGAACTATGTTGTCAATTTCAGGCTTTGTTGTGTTGTGAGGCCAATAAATGGTATATCTTTGTATCTGAGTGGATGGAGTCCCGGAACCATTTCCTGCAGCAAAGAATCTTGAAGACAGAATTTATTATCTCGATCTATAAATTAAAATCTGTGATCAGATTTTCTTTTAGGTTGTGTTTGTTTGTGTGGCTTTTTGATCTGCACTTACCTTCTACAGGGAATCGACCTTCTTTATGGTCCTGAGGGATGATTCTGTAAGCAGGAACACAGGCTGCACTGCTGCTGCGCACTAAGATGGAGGGTAGACCCAGATCACCAGCGATTGATCCGGCACAAAACATGAGATTATCATGGATGATAACGATTGATTCCTTTTGAGATGAGGCCTTTTGTGCATCTATGATCTGGATGAGGTGTTTCTGAAGATGGGGTTTGCAGTTATCGTTTAGAGCTTGCAAGAACTGAATGAAGTCGGAAGAGCCGCCGGTGTCGGATAATTTGTCCGACAGAAGGAGGAAGATGAAGTCAGGGTGATTAGAAGGGTCTGGTGGGTTGAGCTCCGAGTGAGCAAAGGTTATGGAGAACCCTTTGGAATGAAGGTATGAGGATGGAGGTGACGGCTGGAGATTGTTTGATTAGGGTTACGGTTTACATTGGAGGTGGTTTTAAAAAGCCGAAGATGGATGGAGAAAACCTAGGTAGCTGAAGTCAATGGTTACCATAATTATAGGATATTATTTGTGGAAACTAATTATCAAATTACCTATTTACCCTTATTTATTTATTTAATTATTTATTTTTAGTTTAAATTTTGATTGGCCCACATTTATGCATACAATAACACAATAATTACTTTGAATACCTGAACCTAGCTCTCTCTCTCTCTCTCTCTCTCTATATATATATATATATATATATATATATATATAGCCTTTTTATAAAAAAAAAATGTAATCTTAATGTACATAAACCATATAACTAACACTTTGTTCTCATCTTTATTTGGGGAGAGGAAGAGAAGGGAAATGAATGGAATTAGGAGTGAAATATGTTCTTAATTTTTTTATTTTTTTTAGGGATAGAAGAAGATGGAATAGAATGGAAAGGGAAAGATAAGCGGCTACATTTTCATCCTCGTAAAAGTGGACGGGATAGGATGGGAAGAAGAAATGAAACATAAATAGACAAATTGTCCTTCACTTCTTTAGCAATTCAACATGTCTTTCACCAACACTAGTGCAAAGGTATTATAGTCAAATTTCCTCATTTCTCTTCCATTCCATTATATGACTATAGAACACAAATTATTACATATTATTTTCTACCATTTCATTTCATTACCTATCCTTCCCCTTCCTTCCCATAAAAAATCTTGAGAACAAGACGTAAAAAATAGATGTTAAATATATCATTATTATAGATATAAATTTATATAATAAAATCTCTCCAGATATTATGAAAGTTTAAATTCTTGTTCAAATATATGATGAATCAAAACAAAACTAACATATAAAAATACATAAACCCATAAACTATTTTTTTCAATTCTAACAATAACTCAACTTTTTTTTTCTGGTCCAAAGTGGAAACACAACCCACTTTTTTCCCACATGGACAAGGTGATATACACCTCGTGGTCATTGTCGTGATTATTTGCATTCCAAAATGTATCATCTTAAGCACCACATGATACACATAAAATAGAATAAAATCAATTATTGATTTTCCTTTTAGAGTTTATATAAGGCGAAAGGTAGAGTTAAAAATAAAATTGTTATAACAATACTATCGTAAATATAAATTTAATCTCATGTAATATGATGCGGTTGAGTTATTAAAATTGTTTGAATAGTTCCCACGTTAACTAAATTAATGAGATTTTTATGGTATAAAACACAAAATTATTGGTATTTAATAATACTTATTAATTGGAATTATTATAGTCATTTTAAAAATAAGGTAAAAGATTATAGAAAATTAAATAAAAAATATTATTTTGAAGGGGGGAGGGGATTCTTTGTTTTTTTAAAATATCTTAGAAAAGGGGAAATCACGTGTAACAAGACCAAACATCCATTATTATATTCATTATTGATTATTGATTATTGATGCATTCATTGCAACTACTTTGAGTATTATAGATGAGCTAAGGTTGTCAAAAAGATATCATTCGATGTTATTTTATGTTTTTTTTTTTTTTAAATCACGAGCGCAAGATCAGAAGATCATTACTAAAATGAGTTGGTATTTGTTTGTAAGATATATTTTGTGCAGTGACTTTTTATAAAAATAGTTGATTAAGACATTTACGATGGAACTAAATTTAGGGAAATTTGTTGGTGATTTTAGTGTCACAAAACATTTTATGTAATTGGAACTAATATGTGAACTAAGGAGTTTATCATTTGTACTCTATATTATATGTTTGGAGTATGTGTACTGCATGCATATATAAGATCGAATGATAAGCTTGTACCGCAGAATGGCGGGGGGCAAGGGGGATGCGTCCCCTTGTAAGGTCCTAGGGGCAGCGCCCCTAGCAAGGTCCAAGGGGCAGAGCCCCTAGCGGTGGTCCCAAAAGGGGCAGAGCCCCTGGCGGTGGCCCCAAAATGTCTTCAGAAATTTGAATTAGTTACATTATGGAAAAACCAAATTATAATGGTTGATTATGGTCAAATTCGATAAATCTTATCAATTTTGGTAACCACTGATTATGTCATTAATTTGTGATTCTCCAAACTAATACAGATGACGGAAACCTTAATATGTCTAGGATAAGTACAGCTCCTTAATTGAGCCGTAATACACCATTCTCAACTCTTCTTCTTCTATACGAATTCAGAACCCTCTGGCGATTTGGCTTGTGTTTCTCTGCCTAGATATACAAGTGTCATTTTGGATTATCCTAGGCTGGATTTCATGTAACTGTAGTATGTTAGAATTGATTACAAACACAAACGATTAAGACATTCAAAGATGTAAATGAACACAAGATGTAAATAATATTTATTTGGCTCGATTAGTCTCTATGAGTACACGAGAGAAAATAGTACAAGTGAGTTCTGCAAGTGTTCGAATCCTTCTCTACTCTATGCACCTATCATATTTATAGGATACATCAGACTCAAAAATTACAAGAACTAAACATTAACATGTTGAAATAACAATGCCTTGTAAAATTGATAGAGTGTCGAAGTCATGCTCATTTCGACACTTTACAGACTCTGGCAAATTCGACTCCTCACTATTTACGTTCGACCCCTACAATCTCCCCCTTAGTGAGAGAAGTCAAAATTATGCAATCAACTTCATCGTTTGTAAAAGCTCCCTTCTGATCTCCATATACCATAAAATGGTTTTTCGAATCTCATCTTTGTCTTCACTGTCATTCTTCTTGTAGTTATTGATTCGAATCAAGAGATTTGTATAATGTGAGTTTGTGTACCTCTCAATATCACAAACTTGGAATAAAAACTTGGTCATCTTCCCTTTCTTGTTCTTTCCAAGAAATACAACACCAAATGGTTGATGTATGATTTTCTCCATCTCCGAACTCATTGATATTCAACTTTCCTTTTAACAAAGACTGAGGAACTTTTGATGTCTTGTTTATAGCAATTGCAAGTTCGATATCATTGACTGCCAAGTAGTCATAATAACTGTCAAGGAAGGATTTGATGTGAGCAAACCTAATGACAAAATCATCTTTGTTGCTCTCTGTAATCTTCGACACATCAACCGCACTCAGAATCTTCGTGACCGATATTAAGTCATTTAAGTTCATCAAAGGAAAATTTGCTATTGTGAACTCACAAAAAACATTATTTGCCCTTACGACAACATAACGAAAGTTTTGTAGCAGACCTTCGAATAAGCTATCATGAATGATAGTCATCACTTTAACTATCTTCACTGCAGACCACACTTCCTCTTCATTCTTCCCCAAGACTGCATGAAAGCGAATCTTCAACCATTTAAACTCTTCTTTATCATTGAAGTTGTTTGAAAATTTGTGAAGAAGTAAACAACATATGGTAGATAAGGAAGTCAAGCTGATTAAAATCAGTGTTCTCAATGTCGTATCTCTTCTTGGGAATCTTTCGAAAATAATCATTCCATCCAATAGCTATTATGTCTTCAATTGTTTCGTAACACCACTTCTTGTTAGGATCACCCTTGTTCAAGTCAGGTGGGTCATTTGCTCTTCGCCTTAGTATGTTATTGATCTGCATTTGCTTTTTGATTTCTAAGGCTTGTTGCCTTTTCTTTTCTTCATCAAATGGAGTAACAAAAATAGATTTCCCTCTTTCTTTAGGATCAACATTTGAATTTTATTTTGTAGGGACTGAACTTTATCCTCCTTCTCCTTCATTTATTGAGATTCCTTTTGACACCGTTTTCATTGTTGTTGTTGTAATAGTTGTTGAAGTAGAGAAAGAACTTGTCGACTTCATCGAAATGGATGTTGGTATTTGAGTACTTATGAATTTATCCACAACTGCCCCTGAATCTTCAGTTGCATCTTTCGACAGACAACTACCACCTTTTCCCCCTTGCGACACTTTCACTGCACGAGGAGCATTAGTTGGAAGTCGAAGAACTAATCTCCTGATAGGATCCTGTTCAACTTTGATGTTTTCTCGATAGTCGAAACCATTTGAGAAATAGATTCTTGAGTAATTTTTGATTGTGAAAGATCAACCTTTGACAGACTTTCCTTGATACCAGATAAGAAATCCTCCATCTGGTCAAACACCTTTGTATCCTTGTCTGATTTGGTTGTAAGCTGTTTCGTATACTCGTTGTGAAATTCGACCAATCGAGTAACAACACCAGCAATCACATCAACTTTGTCATGTAACAACTTGTAGTTGCCCTCTATTTTCTTCATTTCATATGACATCAAAGACTTCATCTCAGCAACCTTATCATTAAGAGATGGCTATGTTGCAATGAACTTTTTTCATGAGAAGGGCATGACGTTCTTGAGTAACATCACGAGCTATTGAATTTCAGAATCATAACGCTTGGAATGAAAAGCCATTATTTCTGCTTGTTTCTTCTCAATACCCTCAATCAAATCTCGCAAACAAGATTCTTGAGCTTTCATAATATATTCCATTTCGACCCCAGTTACATAGTTCTTTTCCCCAGTAGTTGTTGCAACTTGAAGAAGAGAATTGATTTTCGAATTGAGGGTTTTGAATTGTTTACTAGACATAATCAATTCATCTGGAATATTTTCTTCTTCTGGATCGAATTGAATAGCAACAAATGAGACCATGACATCATCATCATTAGGTTCCTCGTCTTGATTCACTTTCTCAGACTCAGTGGATTGAGATGAGAAATGAGTGATGATTGGTTCTTGTATGCTGCCAGAAAAAGTTGGTGAGATAGTCGTAGTTGGAACAGAAGTCGGAACTGGTGATGATTGTGGTGGTAAAGTTGTGGAAGGATCTATTGGACTTATCCCCTCATCCATGGTGACATTTGCGTCATTACTAGATAAGTCCACAGGGATATTTAGAATTTCGACCTCCTCCCTACGTGACTCGATATTCGAAACCTCGGATGGTTTGACAATAGTCATCTCAGCGATATTGGTGGTTTGTTTATCACTCGAATAGATGTTTGTATCCGTATTAGATAAATTTACATTGACATCAGAATTCCCTGTCTCCTTGAAATTCAACTTGATAACAGAATTCCTTCGAGGTGACCAACTATACGAATCCTCGAAGTGCACTTTAGGCCTTTCACTTTTACTTTCATTTGTGGTTTTGACTGCAAGTGGTTCTCTTCTTTATCTTTTTAGCCATGCCCATAGCTAGACATATCTTGGAGGCTGGTGAAACAGGAGCTGAAACCTCAAGAAACATAACACCCTTCCTTATGAAATGGGGCTTCATGATTTTCTTCGAACCACCCTTAGAAGAACCGGGATTGAAGGGTTCATCACCACATGGGTCAACACTTTCGATTACTGGCTCAATTCTTTCGACTATTGGCTCAACACATTCGAAGACTGGCTCGTGATAACTAACCTTGACTGGAGAATGAGAAGATTTCTTTGCGGGTTTCTTAGTTCGCTTAAGAACACCTGATTTCGATAGGATGGTTTCTTTCACAACTTCCTCCTCCACAGTTGATGGTTTTTCGACTTGTTTCTTCTACCCCATTTGGTGGAAGAACCCCAGTTGGATTAGAAGAATCAATCGAACCTAAATATTGCGCTAAAAGTTAATTTTTGGGATCTACGAGCCTGAGCATCGCATCTAGAATGCGAGCAACATTAGAAAAAATAGCAGGATCATCAACAAAAATCCATGGTGGAGCCATAACCAGAAACTCAGCAGTTTCGACATCAAATGGAATCAGAATATTCTCTTGTTCATAAACTTCTTGTAAAATCAAGCTCCAAAATCGAGCACTCGACACAACATTTGTGAGATTTGTATGTGAAATCGAAGTTCCAAACTCCTCCCATAAATGTGAAGTGTAATACACATTCAGACCATAATACAGTCCCGCGATTACTTAATAGACATCAATCTTGGCTATGTCGAGCCTAGAGCTTCTTCCTGTTAAACATCCTAGCACAATCCCAAACAAAAAACTCCACATAAAGGGAAGACCAGACTTCTTAAAATGACTTATTCCAGTAAGAGTTGGTTGATGCCCCATTTGGTTAAACATATAGACCACCTGATCATTCTTGACTTCATAGAATGTACCTGAAACTGGTAACTTTAGAATTTGGGCAAATTGCTTCCGAGTGAGTTTCTTGTTTTTTGAACTCGACAACTGAAACGTAACAACTTTAGTGGTTTTGTTGAAGACAGCAGTGGAAGTAGCAAGTGAAATCCATTGCATCAGAATTGCAAATGGAGAGGATAGAGCATTCGACAGTACAAAGTTGTTGAAAGTTTAAACAAGCATCCGAAATACCTCCGGATATTGATCAAGTTATGGAACAAGATGAAGATTAGTGGTCTGAATCTTCATCATCGGTTGCGATACTTCTTTATCATTAGTGGTTGTTTGAGCAGCATTGTGTTGAGAAGTAGCCATTGCAAAAAAATTTGGACAAATATGGAAACGATGAACAATTAAGGTTCTTGAGGTTTGATCAGAGAGCATAAAGTTTGATAAGGAAATTATCAACTTCCTTTTATAATCAATGGTATTTTTGAATTTGAATCGGTTTCCATTCAGAAACCGCCACGTATTGTGTTGGTTACTTAACCGACACCGTAAAACTCGCCACATCATAAAAAGTGATCATCACGTTCTCCTTGATTCCCATGAAAATCATGAACCGTCATGTCCATCTGATCTTTCTTTATTCCTAATTGGATAAGAACCATCACAATTTTCGTGTCTCAGATAAGTACACCATGTAATTCGACAACATGATAAGAACAATCCTTCGGCATGAAGGTTGGGCTCATTCGCTTTTGGGATTTGTTAGCGAAATCATATGCCAGACTTTGCAAAATCTAAGTTTCGAGTTGTAAGACCCAAAACCTCAAGGATTCCAGTGCATTCGTGTGCCAAAGAATGAGATAGAAGCAATTAAACCAAGATGTGGATATTGTGATATCAAACATCATTTGATACGAAAGCAAAGTGATCCCAGGCAATCATTCGACATCAAGAGAGATGAAGAATTGCTTGTGTGGTATCCCGTGAATTACAACTGAATACTCGTTGATGAGTATCGAAGGCCTTCTTTTTCATTGGTTTCAAAGGCGGCTTCAATTTTGCACAATGTCACAACTTAACGTAAGTGTGATCCAATTGAGCAAAATGACTTGGATTACCAATGTATTCAAGAACAAGTATGGCTGTTGATTATTATAAATGGCAAAAGTTCAGACAATATATTCAGACTGAAATCTCATTCCAAAAAAATTAAGTATTGGATCATTTTCGGGAAAAAAAACGTCTTGGTGTTTGAACAGTTTATCAAGATCACTCATTTCGAATGGAATGAGATTTTATATATCAAAATAACACAAAAACAAATTTCGTGATAATCTTGAACACTGATGTTCACCGTCAATTCCTTGATAGTTAGGTTTGTTGGGTTTCACCATCATCATAGAAGAATGACTCAGGATCATAAACACGAATGTTTGACATATCGACATTCTGGTGGTTTCGACCAGAGATGTCGAGGATATATAGTGAAGTTTGTGATCGTGAAAGAAATTTTTGGTGAAAAAGATTTGGTTATAGAACTCATTGTACCTCTGCTACAAATGTGGACTAAGTAGAAAACTCTTGACTCAACATGAGAAGAGTAAGCTAGCCCTTCGACTAATGTGAATACAGCCTGATTAGGAAGAAACTTACGTATGAAAGATTTAATTAAGGCTTCGAACACATAGAGTCTTCGAGACTTAGAAGACAACATGCAGCAGCATGCTTCTAGGGATACTTATCTAGTACATAGTTTCGAATAATACATGTTCCCTTGTAGAATGTGATCATTAGGCATGCGAAATTGCATCATGTTGTTACAATTAGACTCCATCGATAATAGTTTTGTATTTTTTGATTTTTTTTAAATTTTTAGAAAGCAAACAAAAATAAGGAAAAAAATTTGAATTTTTGGTTTTTCGAAATCAAATACAAAAATAAGAAAATCTTTTTGGATTTTTTCTTTTTAGAAATCAATAACAAAAATAAGAAAACCTTTTTGTATTTTTGGTTTTTGAAAAAGAAAAAAACAAAAAAATAAAAATAAAACGAATTGTAAAATATTACCTAGTGATGTTCGACCCATAGTCTAGTAGTCATCAATCATGGGTTGTACAACGAACATTTGTCATCAAATGTGAATTGTGTTATGAACGATTCAGAGAGAAGTCGAATGCCACGGAAATCGAACGCTGAACATAAACAGTAACCTCTGAATAGAACACAAACTATCGAAATTAATTTAAAACATACAAAAAATATACCTACTAGTCGAAAGTAAAGTAAAATGTATGTTCGAGTCAGATTCAAGAAGAATTTGAAATAGAAGATGCACCTATCATTCCCAGACCATTCAAAATCCTTAAGAATGATTTTTCATCTAAAGGTTTTGTGAAAATGTCATCTAAAGGTTTTGTTGTTTTGACAAAATGGACTTTAATGTTTTCAACTTCAACTTGGTCTTTGATGAAGTGATAACGAAGAGCAATATGTTTTGTTTTTTAGTGTTGGACCGGATTGCGACAAATTCGAATTGCACTTTGGTAATCGCAAAAAAACGGTATTTTCTTCATGTTGATTGCATAGTCACGCAATTGGCTCTGAATCCAAATTACTTTGGATGTGCACGTAGCAGCAGCAATATATTCTACCTCAGCAGTTGACATAGAAACACATGTTTGCTTTTTCGATTGCCAACTTACAAGCTTCCCATCCAACAATTGACAGCCTCCAGTTGTGCTTTTTCGATCCAATTGGCAATCACCCAAGTCCGCATCAGAAATTTCACGGATAAAGAATCCTGTCTTCGAAGGATACCACAATCCCAACGAAATTGTTCCTTTGTGTTATCGAAAGATATTTTTAACTGCATTAAGATGAGTTTCTCTTGGGTTCGATTGGTAGCGGGCACAATTACATATAACATACATAATATCAGGTCGACTTGCAGGTAAATACAAAAGCAAACCTATCATGCTTCTATACGTCGTTAATCCACAGCAGGCTTATCCAACGAAGGACTTAAGCGCGTGCCAACTTCCATAGGTACTTTGAATTTCGTGTTATTCGTCATGCCAAACTTTTCAAGCAGATTTCTAGTATATTTCTCTTGTTTGATAAAAAATTCTTCCTTGCTTTGACGAATACGAAAACCCAAAAATTTATTGATTTTACCCATCATAATCATTTTGAATTGACTTTTCTTGA